TAATAAATATTCCTCTAGACTGGCATGCATATCACCATTGCTAGTCAAGTAATGGCTCACTCTACTGCTAGAGATATAAGCGAAAAAAATTAATCCCTAAGATTCATAATATGAGATAAATTTCGCCGTGCGGCGGGCGCCGTTAGAGAATCCATCACCCCATTTTGGCCTATGAGTGTTATATAGGAGTAAGTATGGAATATGCCGAAAAGATGGCTTAACCCTTAAAGTAGTTATGGCTGATTGTTTCAATTTGTTTTAGTATGCATATATCATAAGAATTTGTGAAATAACCTTTGGACGCGAAGATTCAAAACGACCGTACATTTTCCGCAAATCGAATGTTGCCTCGATGTACTAAAGGCTGCCAAAGCATCCCGAGGGCTGTCGAGGCATTCCGGATGCCAACACGGTATTCATAAGCGTACCACAGCAATGTGCGGTATTGGGCGCTGGTCCTTAAAATTACAAAAACAACAAAATTTCAAATAATTATGTTAAACTAATTCGTCTTGTTAAGGAAAATAAAATGTTAACAATTATTCTATCTAATGATTTCCTAAAATTTTGTCATCATCAAATTAACGACGACTTATTCGTCGATTAACCTATTTTGATATACATATAATACAAGTGACAATTAAAAAAAAAACCAGATACAAGTGTGATTCGATCAAAGCAATTAATAAAAGATACTTAAGTTTATGCATATTATGGCGACAGCTTTAAAATATAATTTATTGCAGTGAAGAATAATTAATACAAGGTAACTTTAAATTGATATTTTGCTTTAATTATTATTGATGACCTATGATTTGTTTAAACATATTGTGTAATAAATCACATGATTATCCTATACTTAAACAATATTAATGCTTTAATATTGTTTAAGTATAGGAGAACTATTTTGCTCATTTCTATTATATATTTTGTAATTATTCAGTGCGAAAAACAAATTCACGGCCCGCAGCCTCAGATTAAATAATGTTACTACGTAACCGCAGCGCTGCAACTAAACGCTAAGCCAGTACGCTATAGTCATCAAAAATATATGTTTTACAGAAATAAAAAAATATTGTTCTTCCTTCTAAAACTTTCACATACACATATACGCCCACAATAATTATTCATTCTTTGAATCATTACTCACCGCCGTAGAATAATTAATCATTAAATTTTTTCTTCATTACTCACAAGCCTAAGTTAACAATACCTAATGTACGGCGATATTTTTGTAATCTCACAGAACATTGCAATGTGCGCCTTATCTTAATTGGATTTAAAATGCATTATTTAAAAGCGATTCTATACAACGAAGCAAATTGCATTGTGATGATACAAGTATTTTGGGCATAGCGTAGAGTAAGTTATCAAACGTTAATATGAGTTCAAACCGTATTTTTCCAATATTTTTTTTTATTTTCGATTTAGCCGAAAGGATTTGATAGGGTAATTATCTCTTTCTCTTTTTAATGAGAAACTTTGATTGAACAGGTCTAAAATTTGCACTGCTTCGAAATTTATTTTATTTATATTATGTCTGAATCTGAAACGACCATAAATTTTATAATCATCACAATGCGTAAGATTTCTATGTTATTAAACAAATTGTCCTAGCGGCTTCGGGTTATAGAATTAAGTCTAATGCCTTTTAACCGACTTTAAAAAAGAGGAGGTTCTCAACCTGATTGAATTTTTGTTGCATGTTTTTTATTTGATTTAATTTTCTTTTGATTTAAATGATTCTTTTTTATTAAAGAGGCTATGCCTCAATAGTAGTAGTTGAACGAATGAATAGATGACGTCACACACAACACTACGTACAAAGAAATTAAAAAAACAATATACACAAATACATTTAAATTTAAAGAAAAAATTAAAACTCTTAGGGTGAAAAATTACTAACGGTGGTAAATATTTTTTTAGTCAAAGTATTAAGACAACATTCTAGTTAATACCTTGCTCTTTTGATATTGCTTAGTTCACACAGAAGGTCAAATAATTACAAAATTAATAATAAGTAAAAACCGACTTCCAAGAACTAAACAGAATAATTTCCCCATTGATAGTTTCTGAAGTCGCGTTTTACTTTGTATTAATTAAATAATTACTGTAATACGTTATCGCCATATTATGTTTAATAGCAGATTAGTTTGTTTTTAAATACAAGATGCCTCTTACAACTATTATTAATTAAAAGTCTATTTATTTTAGATATTAAATATTTTAATTAATTGTTTCGCTACTTGCAGAAAGCCGCAGGGTTGCTTTGACTATGACTTCTAATGTAATGCCTATAAACTCTCTTAAGATTAAATAAATTGACTATATAATGTTCCCTTACACGGCGAAGGCCTCCTCCCTTTTAAAATTCAAGAATAATCCGACGCACTGTTACAGTGCACTGTACGCATACCTGGGATATACTATTTTTAGTTTGTCGGACAGACAGGTTTCTCTACAATGTTTTTCTGCGCTATCATAAAGTTTTTAACCAAGTAAATTGCTATTAACAATCTAACGGTTAGCTGACGCAGAGCCTACTTCACCTGAGTATGCCTCATCTAGGGGCGAAACACGTGTCGTATTATCGACTGAGGTGTGTTTTTCCTAGTGTACTGATGTTGGGAGTAGTGGTGCTGGGATTGACGAATAGGAGGCGGGTTGCGCTTCCGTAATATTATAAAATTTAAGACCTTACGTTTTAAATTTTATAATATCCTAAACTGCGGTCTTAATGCGTATCGTAGCAGCCGCTTTATGATACATTCTACATTCTATTTAACAAGTACAGGAAGATTGATGCAAACTGTAGAGTTGTGCCGTTTATGAAGAAGCTATGAGAGTCTATGAGACAGAGACACCACGCAGCACTCTCTTAGCTCCACTGCGTGTGACCAAGTTTGTTTTTTGATTAAATACTCAGTATTTCTCAAAATCTAAGAAGAATAATACTAGAAAAAAACAATTAGTATTGCTAGTGATGAGTGTAAGGCATCCCCCCCCCCCCTCCCCTAAACGAAGATTACACTAGATAAAGTGACTACCTGACAAGAAATACACAGGGAATCGATGATTGCTGTTAACTTCAGGACTGAGCTTTGCGGAAGTTTTTAGATACCTAAGTGCCACGTGTGTTCAGAAGATGATCAATGTGATAGGCTGCAGTGACGATGTAGAGGATGTCGTTTATGTCTTTTATTGGCCCTATTTGTTCTCTATATTAATTATTGCGCTAACGATATTATTGTTGAATTAAGCAATACAAAATAATTACTATGCATAGTTTCGCAATTATTAATCGCATTTATGTTTTACAATTTATGATCGTATTAACAATCTTATTAGTCTTTATAGTAAATTTTAAAAAAATGAGTCTCGCATCTAATATGTAGAAATTATTTTTGTTTGTTCGTATTTTATGCGCTGCCATACCGTTTATCAGATAAAGCGCTAAAACTTTGTCATCTTATTGCTTGCACTTGCGTGAAGGTTATAGGCATAGTACAATTAACTTACAGTAGGTTGCGCCCGTATCGTACCGACAATTTATCCGAAAGCTATAAATCATTAAATTGGATCATGAATGTATATCATTTCTAATTAAACAATGTAACTCTTACAAATTCAAAACGATATTTTCACAATTATTTCATCTGCGGCAGCAACGCACCGGGACCAGCTAGTTTCTTATACAAATAATGGTGACAAGCTAATAAGCCTATCTAATAGTGAGAAGATAATGTGGCCTGTAGACATAAAAATATATAGTGAATATAATTAAAATTCATAACCTATAAAGCATAAAATAAAATGTTTTATTACAAGTAAAAATGGTCATTGGTTCTCGCTTTATATGTGTGCCCAAACGCACCCTCTATTTCCTTATTCTTTTGGTCTAGAGAGGCTATCCGAATCGACGCGAAAGAATTTAGGCTCAGGACCAACAGCTCTTTCCGAGGCATGGGGTGAAACACAGCCTATTTTCTGGTTTCGGGCCGCTTCTGAGAACTTCTTCATAGAAAAACCCAATAAATTATGATTTTGGCCCGATCCGAGATTCGAACCTGGAAGTACGTGATCAGCAGTCGTATTTACAACCACAAGACCAAAGAAGCAGTTTTAATCGCACACATAAACTGTGCGTTAAAATAATTACGTATGGATTTATCTTTAGGTATATATATTCATACCCCTAAATGATAAAGGTGACCCTATATTATTTATATATAATTTTTTTTTAATTTTTTAACAAATATTTATATTTTTATTTTATTATTATTTAGTATTGAAAAATATATACAACTTCATCTTATATCATTTTCACCTTTCTACGATCAACCCCTGTTTCTTAATCGCGATTTTTATATTATTCTGTTCCATCCACAATAGGGTTGCAAGATGGCAATCGAATATAATAATTGTAGTACGAATACGATAGATTTTCATGTATAGTTTATAATCACAATTTACTTTAATTTTATAATATTTATTATAGAAATAATATATAATATGGCAAAACAACGCTTGTCGGCTCAGCTAGTATATATATATATACATATCATATACCTTTAAGCATCCAATTTTCTATTCAAATATAATAAATATTATAGCATAAAATTACTTTACCATAGGATACCTATACCGGACGGTAATTTTGTTCGATGTCAAGGAAAACCGTTGTTAACTTCAGTCTACGTAATAATCACTCTTATCATTTTAAAAATCGTTGCGGATAACATATTGTTTCATTTTCCTTAAAATTTTTTCTCTCATTGCAGGACCGGCGCACGCTCATGCCACCGTTCTCATTACCTCAGTCGTCTCGAAACCGCTGCACGAAAGGGACGCGTCATTCTAAGTCCCATAGAATTTAACAATTTAAAAAACTAAATGGAACGGCACTGGTGATATATGTACGTGTTGTGTTTGTGTGTGACAGTGTCTGTGAGTGTTGTGGCAATTTACGAATAATTTGAAAAAAAAATTGACAGTTCATAATGCAGGGCCGCGATAAGTTATGCGCGAAGCTCTCCAGCGCATTCCTCAGAAAGTGGTGTAAGTATATATTTTTTTTTAATTATGGATGGTTTCTTATTTTGAAATAGCATTTATACAGGTAAATATCCGTACAACCAAAATTATTAAGATTACGTGGAGTTACTGCAGGTTCACGTATAACCGCTTTCTCTTTTTTCTTTGAGTGACCGCTCTTTATAAAAAATAATGATGTGCAAATAATAATATTAAGTTCATGTTAATTAATTCAATCTGAAAAAATAATCTGTTTTTTATAATTTTATTTGAGAAAAAAATTCTTGAAATTATGTTTCTATAAACCTAGTAAATTTAAAAATTTCGAGATTCTATATAATCTTGAAATTTTTTAATTTAACTAACTCTTTGACTAAATATTTTTTAGAAGTTGTTTGACTATTTTATTTTAATTCATTCGCTATGTGGGCAAGTGGGCAACCACTTCCCTAAACTTTTTTGAAATTTCTCCGGAAGTTATTCTTGTTTTCAATAAATTATCAAAAAAATTAAGTGTAAAGAGAAGTCAAAAAGATATTTAGAATTTATGATCAACTTATATTCGAAAGTTTTTCATTCGTACCTCAAAATGATGACGTAAAAGTAAAATTAAATGAAGGGCGAAGCACTAAAGAGATAAAAACATGTGACAGTTAATGGTTTTAGTAAGTATTTTTTGTTTTTGTATTACTTCTTATTTTGTTATGCAGCAATCAAAGAACATCATCTTGAAGTCAGTTCATCTACGCACGCAAATTTTTTTTTATATTTAAATTTTTTCGCTTTGTGCCTACCTACCTATAGTTAGTTTTATAGAATATAAAACTGTTAACGAAGGTTAGCAAACTAGTTTAATTGTAGTTTATTTTTCCAGGAATTTTATGATGATAAAGGTAAACCATTAAATAGTCATCATTATCCAATTAGAAAGAGATTAAAATAAATGTATATATTAACCTCGACTGGCCCTAACGTTTTGATTTTTTATAAATAATAAAACGACGGAAAAGTTTTATAGACAAACACTTCTCGAATTATCCTGTACTTTTAAAGTTTACCGCAAGTTTTTTTTGTTTTATTTGTAACAATAGTTTTTCTGGTCAGGTCTTGTAAAACGAAATTAATTTACTTAACGATTTTTAATACTATTTAGAAAAATACATTCAATAATTGTATAATATTTTTAAATTCACAATAATTAAATACTGTTTCGTGTATTTAACATCATCTAATCAAATTTAACTTTAAACTCTTATTTATATTGCTATTAAACGGAAAAACAAGGACGACAGGATCAAATTCTACGAAAATTGCAGGATATAATCTACTGTAGCTCTGTGTCTGTCCTTGGTTAAAACCAGTTTGTGGATGTTGGTGATGCGCAAATGCGATTATTTTTTTATTAAATAATTTAATATAGTATTCAGTCGTTTAACAGTTATAATAAGAAGCAATTATATTGAGTCTTACAATATATTATAGCAATTACTACAATTCGTTATACACTTTATGAATCAAACTACACAATTATACTAGACACTTACTTAATAGTGTCATTTATAACTTTTATAAAGTATTTCTTTTCTGCCGACTTCCAAAAAGGAGACGGTACTCAATTCGACGCGTATGTTTTTTTTATGTGTGTTACCTCATAACTTTTTACTGGGTGGACCGATTTCGATAATTCTTTTTTTATATGAAAGCTGATAGTTCTCGTGTGGTCCCACATGAATACAATTGATCAGACCAATGGTTATTGAGTTATTCTTAAATAACTTATATTGAAGTCGCTTATATTGAAGTCGGCAGTACAAAATTTAAAATTTTAAATTATACAACAAAAATTCGATTTATATAAATATAAATTGTAAAAACGTTCGCATTTCGCGAAACGGGTTAAGGAGCGGGAATTCGAATACACAATGCTGTTTAAATATTACAAATACAACTTCTGCATACTAAATTTGAGGTCAAATTTTTAAATTTCATAAAAATTTCCCAACAATCTACAAAAAAAAAACTTAATTCATAAAAATTCAAATACCTTCCGACATTAAAATATTAGATGCGTCTGATTCTCGCATAACAGTAAAAAGACTGAATGTTAGATGTTGATGTGCAAGAATCCAGTCTCAATCAGTTTGCTGTCTTTAATTTACTATAAAACAGGCTTGCTGATACAAAACGGATATGTAAATGCGACTGGCGTGAAATGAATATTTTTTTGCCTTGTTTTTATTGTATTAAAACGAACAAAATCTAAGCCAGGTAGAGTAACCAGGTGCAGCGTAACACTACGGCTGTACCGTGTATTACTACAGCAATAATGGGTCGGCCCACCCGGTGAAAAGTCACGGTCACATAAAATAGCAACATATTGCTGCTGTGTTTCATATGGTGATTAATTATAGTTATAAAAGTTAGCCCTATTAAATGGTATAAGGAATTTCGTTAGTCATACGCATATTTGCATTTTAATTCTTAGTCGAAAACAAATGTAGGTATCTATGGGCCACAACGTCCACTTACCATCAGTCATGTATTCGTTTGTCACCCATTCTTCTAAAAGAATATTAAGTAATATTATATTTCAAGTATTAATGAAATATCTAATAGGAAAGGTATATCTTGAAAGTTCTTGCAAGCTTATTACTATAATCCGTTTATTTGAGGTATAAACTATTAACGATATTAGTTTGGTGTTGAGAACATTGTCGCCTACATGATTGTTGCCACTAAATTGGTTTTAAACGCTCATTTTTATATCTATAAGTAACAAACATAAGTACAGTATTTACCTATCCAAGTTCCAGAGATTTTGATAAATTGTGTCATCATAAACAATGATTATATACATAATATAGTCATTATACATATTATAACTTAGTACTAAGATAATGATTTTAAGTTTACCTACTAAATTAAAAGAATATAAAATAGTATTAAAAATATCTATATTTCATTCCCACAGCACTTATGATCACGACGGGAATTTAAACGTTTGAATACAAACGCAATAAAATCCGTAAAATTAAATTTACACAATGCGTTGTACAACACGATTTTCGCATTACGTTCTTGTTTTTATAGATTTAATCTTATAACGTTTTGTGCGCGATTGTACTTTGCTCTAGCGACTTCTTTGTTAAGCAGGTAACAAGTTTACGTTGCGTTGAGACTTGAGATAAATCTGAAAAAAATATATAATTGGTAATTTGTATGCATACAACATGTAATATCATAATTAAATTTTCCGCGGTTTTTTTTCCTTAAAGTTATTTTGATTATGATAAGTAAATCTAAGGAATTATTTAAATTTTTTGCACATTAACCGTCGATTACAAATTAAGAAACCTTTGTAGTAAATATAAATTAAAATAGATGAAGAAGTGAGTAAGGAAGGTAATGATAATTTTGTGCTGGTACAGAGACAAGAAACTATGATGTTATTTACTGATATTCCCATATCGACTTCTATAGAAAAAGTTCCAGTTCGACATACCTCAAATATTACATTTGACGTCAGTGTCAACTACCCTTTAAAAGTAGGCATACTGAGGATAAAGTGGAGCTGGGTTTGCGAAAAAATCTGATACGAACGCAGTTTCATGTACCAAGCCCGGCGACAAAAAGTAATCTAATATTATTTTTGTTTGTATTATAAAATATTAATAAATTATTCAATAAAGTGGCATTGTTATACATAAAATTAAATATTTGCACGTGTTTTCATTAAAATATGTATCAAATTTTGATATTGGTGCCGAAACTTTCGAGTAAAACAGTCTCCTACTGACTATCAGGGTATGAGTATTTGCATATCAATATTTAATTAACAGAAAACCAGTAACCTGTTCTCGTTCAAGTGTTTATAAAGAAATAATTTTTTTAAACGTTAAACACTATGATTTTCTCCTGTATCGTGAGGGCAGTTAACATACATAAATTTCACAAGGACAAATCCAGACCCAGTACAATTATTTCTAGGCCATACAAATAAGAGTTACGTGCGGGAATCGAACCCGCAGTCCTTAGCGCTGCAACTCATTGCTAAGCCACTGCGCCACGGAGCCGTCTACTAAATAATCAAATGGAGTTAATGATATAATATTATGAAACTAAATTTATTATAAAAATATTTTAAATTATATATAAATGCTAGATCCACGTTGCAGCTATTGATTGTAGCACAAATGGGTCAGTTCGAGCGGTTAATAACCACGCTGTCACAGAACACCAGCCTAAAATAGCAGCTTAACGTTTGCTGTGTTTCGTATAGTAAGTGTAGAGAATCGGAGACCTGTTTTACTGGAAACGAGGCATTCCATCTTAGTTCTTAGGGGTGACAACACATACGCATTTTGATTTGTAATGGAGGATAGATGTAGATGTTTATGGACCACAGCATCCACTTACCATCAAGAGGATTTTGTGCTGGCTTGTATATAATCTATAAAAAAAACTGAAACTTTTTACAGTTCAGGTTACCGGTATGGTTTAATACCTAATTAATCTTTTAGTTTTCGTCCGTGGTTCTTGGTTTAGAAATAATCAGATCGGTTTTTTCTGGTTTTACGATACTAGTTTATTATTCAATATTAATAGAAAATAAAAGAAAAGGGGGACATATATAGTGTGACTTATTTAATAAAAGAAATTAGACATATTATTTCTCCCTTATATTTTGTACTCACTTATTTTTCAAAATTTCAATTTACACTATTTCGTTTCATTTGTTCTTCATCCCAAACTTACTTTAAATAATTTAAATAAGGACTTGGGGGAGGCCTTTGTTCAACAGTGGACTTGTGAAGGGCTGTAATGATGATGATGATTTTATATTTTAAATGAATCCTCCTTCCTTCGAGAAAATATGTTAGTTACGGTTTTAAATTTTGTGCATAGGTACAGTTTCTTTACTCGCTGGTATTGGCAGTAGAAGGATATATTTTGAACTTGATATTAACGGCATAAAAGCCAAGAACTAAGAGAACGGCACTATGCCCTTCACTTATTTTGTCTTT